TTGAGTATTAAGAAAACAGATGGACAGTGGGCCCTGCACAAGTACTCCCCCAACACAAGAACACTTTGTTCTAACAATTCGGCAGTCTGAGATGCTCACCTGCCTGGCATGATTGCGGAGGGACAGATATTTTTATCTGTCTCCTGCAGAGCAGCTGTTGCTTTGAATTATTGAGCTTCTGGTTAACAGCCTATCTCCACCCACCATCCTCACCAAGTGAGGGTTATTTGAGGCTACATAATGTTAGCCAGTACTCTGGGTTCTGTATCTCATTCTACTTTATTTCAACCTTATGACCCCTGTTCACTTCTATAAGAATTTGGGCCTATGATCCTCAGGGATATTGAAAATACTGGGTTAGTCACTGGAGATAAAATGGTTCCCTGCTTAGATGAGTGTACCAACACCATATTAACCAAGCTACCCAAATGTCACTGAAACCTATTGTCAAAGAGCTGTCTAGCGCCTGAGATTTCATCCAACTTACAAACTAACAAGTTAGCCTGGCACAATTTCATGAATGCTGCTAATAGAAGGAGATGCTTTGGTGAAAGACAAAGGACTGTTTATTATTCACAGTATTAACCCAAACTCAAATCATGCCCACTGCCATCAATTTGAATTCTGATCCATAGCAAGCCTATACAGGGATTCTGAAGCTTTGTCAATCTTTATAGGGACAGAGAGTCTCATCTTTCTTCTATAGAACAGATGGTGGGTTTGAACCACTGACCTCATGATTAGTGGTCCAATGCTTACCTGACAGCACCACAGTAGCCATAATATCAGCATTTTCTATACTAGTTTTCTAAGCCTCAGTTCCCACAGGGTGACATAAACAAAGGCCAGGTAGCACTCACAGTGGGTTACGTTACGAGAGGAATCCTAAGCTTAGGGTACCCACATCTTTTTTAAATGGCTATACGCATGCCTGCTTTTTGCCTTAGAGGGAGACATTATATTTATTATACTGGACAGTAAGCACATCTACCATCTATTCTGGAGGAAAACTATTTCTATCTTTCAGGACTATATGCAAGACAATTTTGCTCCAAAGGAAGAGGAGATAGGAATGGTAACCTTGGTTGCTCTTGGGTGAGGAGTGAGATTTATCTCCCAAGGTTATTTGCTCACCTTTGAAGAGCTAGTCCAGAACAGAGAGTTGTCATGCTTCTGCTTGCAAAAGGTACAAACATGCAAAATACCCCTGGGAAATTTTCTCTCCGCACCTGTAACTAAGTCCTGAAAATCTACTGTAAGAGCAAAGGAAAACATGAGCAGGGAAGTAGGACAAACTGAGACGCTACTGCTTTGATAAAGCTTGCCTTGACTGACCTCTATGTGGAGGCATTTAGTATAAAGATATCCACCTATCTTCTTCATATTTTATGTAGCACTGAGAATGACATCTTTTCTCGAAGTCTAGAAATACTTAGAAATTATACATTCCTTATTCATTAAGGAGCATTTAATGAATGTCTTTATGTGCCAGGGACAGTGCTGGGCTCCGTTCCATTATTCTACTTATCATCTTCTCATTCTGCTGAGGGGAAATTAACTACAATAATTTTATCTTCTTTTCTTTGTAGCAATTTTTAATTACTTGGCACATTAAATTAAAATAATAAAAGTATAAAATTTAGATCCAGTCTAGAATATATTTTCAAATGTACTACATACAAGATGATATAATTTGGTTGCAAAAATTATACTTCAATTAGTCTTTAAATTCATGCCACTGAAAACAGCATGCAAATTATTTAAGCATTCAAGATTAGACTGAAAAAAAGTTGCATACTTAAACACCTA